GGAGTTCAGGGGTTAAAATAAAATTTTACCCTTTCATTAAACATATTTATCTTTTTAATTTTATAAAAAAAAATTAAATAAATTTTATGAATTTAAAATTTTTAAAGAAAATATATAAATTAATTATAGTAAAATTATATTAGAATTCAACTTGTTAAAAAAATAAATATATAATAAAGATAATTTGATAAAATATACATTACAATAATTTTTTATTCCTTTAACCAAACACTATAATCTTACATTCTTGCTAAACAAATCAAACACAAAATACAACATTCCCAGTATCTTATTCATCGATAATCTTATTTCCGCCGATAATTTTATATTTTGTGAACCAAACACACCCTAAGAAGATTACGAAAATTTCTAAGATTAGACTAACAATAACATCATTATGAATTATACAAATTTAAACTATAAAAATATAATTATAATAAAAATATATTTTATATAACTCACTATTAATATTTTAATACATAAATCATAAATTTTATTTATTTTCAAATAATTAAAATAAATTAAAATTAATAAATTATTTTTTAAAGATGTTAATATTAAATTATTAAAAAGGTAAACTACACCAATAATCACTAAAATTTAGATTAGTGTTTATTTTCACAACTGATGTTTTAAAAATTATAAATCGGTCATTAACATTATCATTGATACAAATTTATCACAAATTTGTCATTTACAGTTAACCGCTGTTAATTAGAGTGACATAATATACAAATCGGAGTGTCAAATGTTGAAAGCAAAAGCATACATGTGTTGTCGCTTCATCTTCTTCCTCTTTCTTAGGTAGTTACCATGAATTCTTGCTTCATCTTCTTCCTCTTTCTTGGGTAGTTACCATTGGTTCTTGCTTTGTCTTCTACTATCATCCCGCAATTATCGCTTCCCATAAAATCCATAAAGTAAGTTTTGGGGAACTTTGGTTCTTATTCACATTGTCAACGTCGGCCATTGAAATCAAATGGGTTGAGTCAGTTTAAAACAGACGGTGTCGGTGACGCCTGCAATAGATCAATAGGGTGCTTTACGTGACAAGACCGGTGCCGTCGGTAGCTTTGGGAGTGACTAGGGTCTGTCTTGGATCGGGTTCTCGGAGCTGGAAAAGAAGAGCAACAACTTCGACGGTAATAATAAGAAGAAAAAGAATAGAAACAGTGATGTTGTGACTAATTTGGGGGTGAGTTGGGGTTAGTCAAGTTGGGCGAGTTGGAGATCTGACTCGCTAAGTTTGCGGTTGGGGAATTTGTAGAAGTATATAAAAGGTGAACACGTGGCTACTGGTTGACTTGAATGGCTTAGGTGGTATTTGTTTTTGCAGAGGTAAAAGGTCTGCAGTCTGCGGACCACATCTGCAGGCATCTGCAACAGAAGAGGTGGACCAAAAGTCTGCAGTCTACAAGAAGAAGACTGTTTGTTTTTTAACGTCTGCAGACTACTAAAATGAACTGAAATATAAATAAACTGATTTTTTAAACTTAAAAGAGTTTTGCAATACTGAGATTTAAATAATTTTATTTTACAATACTGAAATTTAAATAATTCATACAACTACAATAATAAATTATTTAAAATAAATCAATCTATATTTTAAAATAAATCAATCCATACTAATAAATTATTTAAAATAAATCAATTCATACAACTACAATAATAAATCAATCTATATTTTAAAATAAATCAATCCATACTAATAAATTATTTAAAATAAATCAATCCATACAACTACAATAATAAATCAATCCATATTTTAAAATAAATCAATCCATACAAATAAATTATTTAAAATAAATCAATCTATACTAATAAATTATTTAAAATAAATCAATCCATATTTTAAAATAAATCAATCCATACTAATAAATTATTTAAAATAAATCAATCTATATTTTAAAATAAATCAATTCATACTAATAAATTATTTAAAATAAATTAATCCATACAACTACAATAATAAATCAATCCATATTTTAAAATAAATCAATCGATACTAATAAATTATTTAAAATAAATCAATCAATACAACTACAATAATAAATCAATCCATATTTTAAAATAAATCAATCAATACAAATAAATTATTTAAAATAAATCAATCCATAAAACTACAATAATAAATCAATCCATATTTTCAAATAAATCAATCCATACAAATAAATTATTTAAAATAAATCAATCTATATTTTAAAATAAATCAATTCATACTAATAAATTATTTAAAATAAATCAATCCATATTTTAAAATAAATCAATCGATACTAATAAATTATTTAAAATAAATCAATCCATATTTTAAAATAAATCAATCCATACTAATAAATTATTTAAAATAAATTATTTTAAAATAAATCAATCTATATTTTATAATAATTTATTTTAAAATAAATTATTTTATAATAAATTATTTTAAAATAAATTTTTTTATAATAAATTATTTTAAAATAAATTATTTTAAAATAAATAGCCTTATTAAATTATTTAAAATTATTTTAATAAATAATTATATTTTATAATTGTTCTTGAAGAGGTTTGAAGACCTTTGAAGACATAAAACCAAGTCTGCACCAAGAAGAGCTCGCGCAGACGTTTGAAGAGCTTCTGTCTTCTAAAAAACAAACAGTCTGCGAAACCTAATGTCTGCGCGTGATCTGCGCGACGCAGACATAAATGGTTTGAAGAGCTTGCACAGTGAAAACAAACACCACCTTAGCGTTGTCGCTGGAGAAGCCATTAAAGGCTGGGTTCTCCTCAAGGTCGACTCTTTTGAGAAGCTTGAGAATGTGTGACTTGTTTTCATTTTTGTTCTTTTCTTGTTTATTTTATTGTTTCCCTAAAGAAAATTATTTGTTTCTGAAAGTCAGAAAATTGTTTCATTTGGATATTAAATTCTTTTAAAATTAATTCTTACTTCAAACCTTTTCAAATCAAGAACAACTAAATTTCTTTTATGTTTTTTGTTTTCAGCGTTTAAATGGAGTGAATTTATTTATTGTTTTTGATAATCTAATAGGGAAGTTCTTTTAAAATTTATCTTGTATTTAAAAATTCATTTGAGATAAATATTCCATCTTCTTTAGGCCAACTCAAAAAATCATCTGTGTTAACTAATGAAGAAAGAGGAAGAAGATGAAGCAACAACCAATGATAGATCTAGAAATTAAAAAATGAGATCTAAAATTTTAATGTTCATATTCTAAAAGATTTGGGTATACATTTTTTTTTTACTTTTTCATATTTTCATTAACAAATTAAACTAAATTAAAAATTTTCTCAAAATAATGGGTGTGTAGTGGCTCCCCTAAGGAGCCACATACATCCGCCCCCGGCAACAACCCATGCATGCTATTATTTCAACATTTGACATTCCATGTAGCGATCAACCCAGTCCAAGTAAGCTTTAAACGATCCAGTTGTATATTCCGTCACTCTTATTAACGACGGTTAACGACAAGTAACCAATTTGTAACAAACGATAGTGTTAGTGGCCGATTTGTGACTTTTGAAACATCAGTGATGAAAAAGAACACTAACCCAAGCATCAGCGTTAGTGTCCATTGGCGTAGTTTACCCTTATTAAAATAAAATGTAAATATATAATTGAGTGGAGCACATGCATTAATAAGGGTAAAATTATAATTTGTTTTCAAACACAAAGTTGAAAAATAAAAAAGCTAGAAATCCTAGCTTTTGCGATTGATTTAAAAGCACCGTTTCCACTACAAATTATTGTATGATATTGATTTTGCGGTCAAAACGAGCTTTTAAGCTAAAGATGCTTTTAGAAAGTTTTACCAAACGAGCCCTAAGAACATTAGAACAACTTGTGTTTTATTTTATGGTAAACTACACCTATGAATTAATGCGTGATTTTATTTGGACTATTGATTTTTTGTTTTATCAATCAAATAATTTAACTATTTAAATGTATTAATCAAGTTATCTACAGCTAGCATTTGACAAATGGACTAATATGACAATAAAATTAATTAATTACATATTTTTGTCCTCGTTTTTTTACACATTTCATAATTTTATCTTAATTTTATTTTAAATTAATAAGTTTAATTCTATACTCAAATGGCTACACACGTCATTACTGGGTTATAGAGTTTTTTAATTTTAATTTGTTTAATTCAATAAATTCATGTGTCACTATCTGATTAGAGAATTAAATTTATTAAATTAAAATTATGATCAAATTGATTGAAAGTGTAAATAATAAGGATCAAATGTGTAAATATACAAATTTTAAGTGTCACGTTAGTTCCTCCATCAAACGTTAACGACATATGACTTGGTTGACAATATTTAAATACTTAAGTGGTTTGATTGACAAGATTAAAAGATCGATGGTAAAAATTTCTCATAGTTATGTGGTCATGCATGTAGTTTATCCTTGATTTTTTCTAAACCTTAAATGAGGAAATTAAAAATTTTATGGGAGTCAAATTAAAATATTTAAAAACTTAAAATCTTAATGATAATTTCTTAAAGTTTTAAAAGGACAAAATTAAAATTTTCAAAACTTAAAAGAAACATTCTCCAAAGCTTGGGGCCAAGGCCCCTCACGCTCCCATTGTCATCCGCCCCCGTCGCCAATCTCTCCTTGATCTCCACTTGCGGTTCATGCATAAGGATCCATCTCATTGACTAGGTAAAATCCATTCAGGATTCATACAAAACATAATGACATTTACCTGAATCAAAAGGGAATCAGAGTACCTTATAAATTGATCTCATATATATATATATATATAGCTTTAATTATAAAAGTATATAAATAATGGAGTAAAACCATATAGAAGAAACTCCGGCAAATGAAGGCCACTGATAACAATTTCTATATTTAAGTGTTAATCAATTGATGGAACACATAATTCGGGCGATCTATCCTCTCCTTCATTTCTAACTGCAATTTTTCTCCATAATCTCTAATCTAATCCAATCCTCAAGTCAGTCAACACTATGATCCATTGTTTTTTGATCGCCTTTGTCCATGGGATCTTTTCTTCCTGTACTTGCAATAAAGGAGGAGTTTGAGATTAACAAGTCAGATAAACAATTATGATGCTGCATAGAGTTTCCAGTAATGTATACCCCTGGTGGTGGGCTAGCCATATCAGAACTAAGCAATCAAAATGGCTGGAACAGAATCTTCACGGCATTCTCTCTTTCTAATCTAACATTTTATATCCTCATTTTATTTTCTATTCTAGCAGATGTTTGCATTTTTTTTCTTTGGGAGAGTAATGGTTGAAACTTTGACTTGAAAATCACAGATATGGAGGAGAAATTCGCCGGCATGCTTGAAATCATTGATGATGATGGAGATTCCTTTATACGAAGGGCAAATATGTATTTCAAAAAGAGACCGGAGCTTTTAAGCATTGTTGAAGACACTTATCGAGCTTATCGAGCATTAGCCGAAAGGTATGATCTCTTATCAAGGGATCTGCAAAGTGCCAACCGCACCATTGCCACTATGTTCCCAGATCAAGTTCCGTACTCCATTCATGACGAAGATGACGAAAATGGTTGCCTTGCTTCCCCGAGGCCCGATACACCACCGCCATCAAAACCGGGATCAAGAGTTCCGGTTCCGAATATAGATTTTCGGAGCCAGTCGATGTTGTTGCTGCGAAAGGGACAGTTAAAGAAGTCTATTAGTTCAGCTGAAGCTGGTTTGTGTCCGCAGTCGGGGTTAAGCAAAGAGGAGGCATTGGAAGAAATAAATAAGCTCGAAAAGGAGATTTTAGAAATGCAGACTGAATGGGAGTTAGTGAAGAACTCATATGAGCAAGCGTATAAAAGATTGTGCGCGATAGAAAATGGCATATCCGAAAAGCAAAAGAGGGTATGCAGCTTGCAGGACGAGTACGATATCAGATCCACTATCGACGATAACGAAGCTAGGGTTCTAATGGCGAATCGGGTTCTTAAAACTTGCCACGAGTCATTGGTTAAGTTGCAACAAACACATGAGCAATCAACTGAAGAAGGAAGAGTTGAATCCAAAAGGATTAAGAAGGCAAATGAGGCTTTTGAAGCTCTTCGGAGGAAGTTCAATTGCCCACCAACAAAGCAGGAGCTAAAGAGGGTTAGCTCGGCTACGGATGTCAACAAAATGGTGTACGAATTCGAGATTGCTGAAAAGGATAGTGGGTATATTGAATCATTGCAAAAGGAGATTGAAGAGAAGCTCGAATCAAGTTTGGGTTCCTCTCTTACAATGTCGCAACTGGCGGATAAAATCGATGACCTCATACAAAGAGTTGTTAATTTGGAGAATGCGGTCTTTTCTGAGAATGCTTCAGTAAAGAGATTGAAATCAGATGCTGATGATCTTCAGGAACACGTCAAGAACCTCGAAGAAGACGAGGAAGCGCTGGTTGGAGGCTCGGAATGTGCAGAACAGAGGATTTGTGCATTGGAGAGGGAACTAAGTAGAGTTAAAGATCTCCTAAGAACTGTTATAGACCAAAATAACAGCCTCAAGGCTCATTTCGCTGAAGCAAAATGTAATATCAATCATTTATCAGTGAATTTACATGCTGTGAACATGGATGAGGAGTTCGACAATTTGGAACTCTCCAAAGAAGGAAAACCTAAGGTGGATGCCAAATCTGATAGGAAAATTGAGCTGAAGGAAGAAACGGAAGGGAAGGATGAAGATGACTCGGCTGAAGGAAGAAACGATGTTGATTCTGAATCAAGCAATAAGATTGATGCTGATTCGGATGAATACAAAGCCGAGAAGAACTCTTTGTCCGAAACAGCAACCAGTACCATGGTTGCTGATTCGGGAAAGAGTACGGAACAGATGGATGAATGCAAAGTTGAGAAGAAATCCTTTCCCGAATCAGCAAGCAGTACCATTGTTGATTCTGATTCGGAAAAGGGTGCGGAACTGATGGATGAATCCAAAGTTGAGAAGAAATGTATTTCCAGAACAGCAAGCAGTACCATTGATACCGATAATCCGGAATCAGAGACCGATGAAGAAGAAGAGCTACAAAAATGGAGGAAGCTGTACAATAGTGGATCGGATGAGAGGGATAAGATTTTACTAGATGAGTATTCTACGGTTCTTCGGAATTATAAGGGTGTGAAAAAGAAGCTTAAAGAAGTGGATCGGAAAAACCGGGATAGTTTCTACGAATTGGCATACGAGATCAGAGAGCTGAAGACTGCTCTTGCTACCAGAGATGAAGAGATCAAACTGTTGCGCCGAAAGTCAAGCTTGACAGAATCTGAAGCATCCCATGCCATGATCAGCCCAGAATCTACTTTATCAGATTTTATTCAGATATCGCCAGTAGCAGCAGACGAGGGGAAAGTCGAATCCATTGAAAGAGAAGCTAAAGCGACAAGAAGAAAAAGATCTTTAAGCCGATCCCGTTCCTTCTTAACCTCAGAAGGTAAAATCCGGGCCGACATCGATGAACTGCTGGAGGACAACATAGCCTTTTGGATGAGGTTCAGCACATCTTTTCATCAGATACAGAAATATGAAACTTCAGTGCAGGACTTGAAGAGTGAGTTATCAACATTGAGAGAAAGAAAGAAGCAAGAAGCAAACGGGAAAGAGGAGCCTCTGGGATCGGAAGGGCGCCCCATTTATGCTCATCTACGGGAAATAAAAGCCGAAGTGACGTTATGGTTGGAAACCAACGCCGTGTTGAAAGACGAAGTGCAGGGTCGATATTCTTCCTTGTGCAACATCGAAGAAGAGGTATTGAGGATGAGCAAATCAAATGACTATAAAGGTGAGCTTGAGCTCGATGGATATCAGGCTGCAAGGTTTCAAGGTGAGCTCCTAAACATGAAACAGGAGAACAGCAAGGTTTCGAATGAACTGAAAGAAGGATTCGATCGAATGCAACAACTCAAGGAGGATATAGGGAATGTAATGGCCAACTTGGAAAAGGGAATCGAAGCTGCCTCCGCATCAAGGCTACGGCGTTCTGGATCGTCAACACGGAATAGAATCCCTCTCCGATCCTTCTTATTCGGAATCAAGTTAAGGAGCAAACGGCAGAAGAAGGGGTCTTCCATATCCGGGCAGCCACAATTTCAGCCACAACGCAGTTATGGTACAGAACCTACTGAGCCTCCATGAGAGACCATTCGGAACTCGGAAGATCTATAGATTCTTTTAAATTTTGATTCTAACAGGTTCAAAACCTTTTTCTTCATATATTACTCGTAATGGTTTGGGATTCTTAATCTTATATTAAAATTCTAATGTAGAATTAAGAGATGTTTTCAATGATAATCGTCTGTTGATTCTTTCATTCTCCATTGATGGACTCGACATCAATGCAAATCGAAGTTCCCGAGTCCAACACCACACTTGTGCACACCAGCAATAAGTAATCACCAGCTGATCCATCATCGACTTGGTTAATCTAGAAGCAATCAGTACCTAACAAGAAGAACCATCTCAGGCTCAGCACACTGGCTTGGGGGAAAACCAAGCAATAGGATGAATCACTAGAGCTATATTGTTCATCAAGGATAGAGGATGTAAAACCTCTATTCTACTTTTGGCTTATGATGCTACAAACGCTTCAACTTTTGATGAAAACAATTAATTAAGTTTTAATTTTTTCACCCAATTAAGTTTTATACCTTAAAATTCTATTAATTAATCCCTTTAACTAATGTTCATTATTAATTTAATATTTTTTTTTGAATCAATTGGTACCCCATATCACGTCGTAATGATACCACATGACATATACAAGGATTCTTATGTTTATTTAAAAAATTATTTTTTTAAAAAATCTAAAAAACATCTACAAATTATAAAAAATATTTTTTTATAAAAATCTACAAATATCACATAATAGAATCACGATGTATCATATGACGATAATATCTGTTAAAGATCAAAATTGATAAAAAAAAAATCCATTGATCAATTCATCAATTTGAGAGTTTAATTTAATATAAAACAATTCAAATTTAATTGATTATTTTTAAAATTTTAAGATTTCAAACACTCCTACATGTTTCTTATTTTTGGATCTACATATAACTTTTATATCTATATTTTCCATTTGTATTTAATTATTTTCAACATATGTGTTACACATGTATATACACGTTTACTATTTTTTTTCCACGTCCTAGACCTTCTCATTTCACTAGATATTTAAGGATTGATTTTCTGACTATCGTAACATTTCTATCGACAAGGATCTTAGCAACATAACGTTGCGAGGGCGGTTATACATAAATTGATACTTTGATTGTGTGACTTTGATTATTGTCGTTGAGGTCAGTAGTATTTAATTTAAACTAGTCGATTAATAAATCAGAGTATCATTGGTTATAAAAAATATATGAATATTTTAATTTTCCTTAAGATTTTAGGTTGCAGTTTTATGAATTTAAAAAAATTAAAAAAAAATCTAAAATGATAGAATGATAGTGATGAGGCTAGTTCATTAGTCTTTAGAGTAATTTGAGAAAAAAGTCGAAAAATAACAGTATTGAAGATGACATCAGATTAAAATAAAATTCTAAATATTAAAAATTTGTGTGAATATGATGAAATGAAAAAATGAGAGAATTTTCACATCAACACGAAAAATAGACAAACACCATTAAGAAAACAGGCCATATAATCTTGTTATTTCTGATTTTAAACTTAAGTGACTAAAATTGAAATAATTTAAAAGTTGAATTATTTAATTAATTTGTTTTAAAAGTTAAAGGATCAAAATAAGAATATCATCATAGCTAAGTGGTGAAAATCCGTAGTTTACCTAAAATCAACCATTCTCTTTGATTGATTAATAGTTTTATTAGGGTTTTCCCATTCACTCTCCTTCTTCCCTTTTGCTCCCTGTAAATGCTTCAACATTCCAATTTCCTCAATGTACGGACAGTACCAGCCCATGAATGTTCAAGCTCCGATGGTCGATTCTGGGGCCGACGTCTGTGATGATGTCTCAGCCTCGGCGTCCGTCGATAACCACCAAAACATTAGTTACGACGCTCACCCACTTGACAACGGCATCGGAGTTGAGGGCGTCGCCACCGATTCTATTTACGCCACAGCTGTAGCCGCAGCTGCAGCTGCTTCGGCCTCTAACTTGGTTATCGTTCAGCGAGCTGAGGATGCCAGCCAGCTCACTCTCTCGTTTCGCGGTCAGGTCTATGTATTCGATGCAATTACTCCGGATAAGGTATCATTTTCTCCCTTCACAATCTTTCTCTCTCTCCAGTTAAACCAATTAGGGTTTGCTGAAATGTTTGATTTTTTAAAACCAAAAGACGACTTAAATCGAAAAGAGATATGACTTCATTTCCACTTGATTTAAGGTATTAAAGCAATATTCAACTTCAACATCATACAGTCATACTTCATCGTTCCTGTTTCTATATTTTCCCCAATGAAATGCACATTGTAAAGACTTTCATTTTGAGTCAATTTTTGCAGTTCCACGCGGTGTTATTACTGCTAGGGGGATGTGAACTGACTTCAGGTCCCCATGTTGAAATGCCATCTCAGAACCTAAGGGTAATTCACTTAAATTTTTTGAATTTAGAAATTCTTTTTACATTCCTTTGTAATTACCTTGTTTTCATCCTTAGGGTGGTTTGGACATTCCGAGATCTAATCAACTGCATAGGGCAGCTTCGTTAGATAGGTTCCGTCAGAAGAGAAAAGAGCGATGCTTTGATAAGAAAGTCAGATATGGTGTTCGCCAGGAAGTTGCTCTTAGGTGTGCATTTTCCCTTTCCTGACATGCAGTTACTTTAGGTGGCTGTGCTTGTAAAAGTTTTCATCAAATTTTGAAGAGAAATATCCTAATATTGATCTTGCAATTGATTCTAACAACCTAACCCCAGAATTAATACAGTGAGTATGGCCTTTTTGGGTTTGAGGAATTACTGAGCATTAACACTTGGAGGAGAGTATAGTTTATATTATGATAGTTGTGTTGATTGTATGGATAGCCAAAGTAAATGATTTTTATTCACACTTTTTTTGGCATCTTTCTCTTATATTCCCTTCCATTGCTTCTTTTCATGATCTATATTACGAGAGATATTAACTTTCATGCGCTATTTATCCTATTCTCGTGCTCCTTTTCATACTAGTTTATAATTGTATATCTTAATGTTATTTTATATATGTACATGACACACCCGCGTAAGTACACAAATATCTGCTGCACCTTACTTCACTCAAGCAAGCATAATTTTTGCATCTTGTGCCTCAAGAATATAAGGGTTCTAATTCCTTGCACCCTTGACTCTTCATAACTTTGCATTTAGTATTAGGTTTAATGATCAACTCATTTGGGAGTTTTGTTCTTAACTTGAAGTGTAAGGTTTAAGTTGTTACAGTCAGGAAAGTTTAACTGATTCTGTCTCTTTAAACTTTTTTCAGTTAGGCGCTCTTATGCAGAAGAAATGGATGAAGTCGAATAAGGTTCTCTCAAGAGGCAAAATAAATTAATGAATTAAAAATATAATGTAGAATACTATTTTCCTTCAAAGTTTAATTCCTTGATCTAGGAGCAAATGCAACAGTATAATTACATGGACAAATAGGAGAGGATTATAACTGTAGTCATGGTTAAGTAACAGCATAACTTAGAAATATATATTATATGTAATTGAGTCCATATCAATTATTTGAGTTCACTTAAATTGAATCTTAATAACTAGGGTGGTTTATTTTAACTGAAAAGGAATCTAGAAAAACTCATCAGGGACAGTCCGTCCTTATTGTTAACTTTATATTTGTTCCCATAGTTGCCTAATTTATGTTTCTGATTTCTGTGAGTGCTTCAGGATGCAGCGTGATAAGGGTCAATTTACTTCTTCCAAGAAGTCTGACGGAACTAAGAGCTTGGGTACTCAGGATGAAGATAAACTATCAGATACTTCGTGAGTTTTATACCATCTTTAGAGTGTTATTGTTTATATTTTCTTTCTCTGAACCACGCTAGATTTCTCTCTTTCTTATGGCACTCCATTTACAGATGTCAGATTCAAAATTTCCTGGTGAATTCTCATATTAAGTTCATAATAATTGTAGTTATAGTATAATGCCATTTCTACTTTTTCAGATGTCCTCACTGCGGCATCAGCTCAAATTCCACCCAATGATGCGACTTGGTCCATCTGGTCCGAGATTTTTGTGCAATGCTTGTGGACTTTTCTGGGCAAATAAGGTTGGTGTCTCTTGCTTCGTTTGATAGTCCACAGTTCTGGGGTGGGGGTAAACTATTTTGCTGATTCACAAATGCAGCTTAAGAAGGTTTTCCAATCTGCTGGGTACAGGAAGAGGTCCTCCCCCCTTTCTCTCAGGCCTCCCCTTTTGTTTCTTACATTTAAGTTCTATCCCATTTCTTTTGGGCATTTTCTTTTAATTTTGCATGTGTATCAATGCTTTCCCTCTGCTGAAGCATGCCCCATGTTTTCAGATTTTAACAAAGCAACTTTATGCAGGGTACTTTGAAGGATATACCCAAGAAAACTCGGGATCATTCCCCGACTCTAGTCGAGCATGTAAGTTTCTCAATGCATAAACTTTTTATATTAGGCTTCTTGACCACCTGTCATAATTTACCTCCTGATTCTTTCATTAACCTAATCTATGATCTGCATTTTCTTATGATATAGAGAGAGAGTGAAGCAAATGACTCTGATTCTGGAACTGCTATTCCTACTCAAAGCAATGTAGTTTCTTTCTCAAATGGTGATGGCACTGTGCTAATTGCCGAACACTAATTGTCTGTGCTAATATGGTCATTGTTTCTGTTAGATCTTGATTATTAATTTCCTTCAAACTTGTGCTATATGTACAGATATCATAGCTGCCTTCAATGGTATACGAGGTTTCCCCCCTATGTTCGTTCGTTTAGGGTACTTTTGCATGAGTTACCTATTCGGGAGGGGAAAAAACCATTCTGGATGTTGTATTACCCGAAGCTTCATGTATCTTAGCTTTTATAAATTCAGAGGCCGTATAATTCAACATATTATCCCTCACAAGAGTTACCTTAGACGAACTATCTAAGCCTCCTTTATGTACTAATCAAAATGCATATTAGTTCATGTAAAGGATGAATAATCTTTTTTCTGTAATGATAA